GGCAGCAGGAGCCATTGCATTGCTGATACCCATCAGGAGTTCAGCGGTGCCCCAAGGAAGGAGCAAACACAGCAACACGATGATAATAACGAGGTTTCATTCAAAGATAACGATCAGATTTTGTCTGGTTGCTGGACAAGCCTTGCCAGCCGAGCCGAGCTGTGCAGAGTTTGCTGTGTCCCGTTTCCTGGTGTCCCCGTGTCGTTACTGTAATGTAAACTTCGTGCTCGGGAGAAGAATGCCTTGGCAACAGCTCCTGGCAAAACTCGGGCCTGCAGCGAGTGTCCCTGGCTGGAAAGGGCTCCACCTGTTAGCTGAGAGGGGGAAGCTAATCTGCCATATCTGCAAATTTTAGAAACTGAGCACTTCCTCCCTATGGAAAAACTGCTAAATGCTGGGCTCCTGCCAGGAGCTGGAGGAACACCGTGAGCTGGGGATGGAGGCTTGCCCAGCGATGCCTGGGATTTAAATCCTGTGAGCCAACTTTCTTTGGGCAGTGAGTGGGTAATTCTGGGCACTGGATGCAGTTTGCATCAAAGACTGCTAAAACTGTAATACATTAGTGCCGTTCCAGAGGCGCTTGGAGCTTGTCAACTGCCAAGAAAAATACAGGGATGGCAAGAGATTATCCTGCTGAAGATCCACGATGAGAGGGAAAGATACTCACCCTGTACTCCCACCCTGTCACATCGCCCTGAAGGTTGTACAGAGAGAGAAGATAAAGAAGGAATTATAAATTTAAAGACAAAATTGCTGTGCTCTGCAGTTAACCTCGCTTTTAACCTCCCCTACGTGTGAACCACGCAGCTGGGGGTTAGCAGGACCTAAAACTGAAGGAATGAAGCCTATCCCTGTATTTTTCTTTATACCTGATTTCAAGGACGGTTTAGGAGAAGGGAATGTTTCCTCACATGAAGTAACTACCCACCAAAATGGCAACATCATTACTTCTTGAACCAACTCTTTTTGACTTTGGCCCATCCCTTTGGCCCTGCTGGAGAGCAGGAATCTGCTTTGTGACTCTCTCCTCCGAGGTCGTGGTTCTTACCCTGTTCCCAAGGAGCGCCGTCTCAAATAAGAGAGGAGAACTCTGCATAGCAATAGATCCTCTCGGGTTACTAAACTTATTCACTCTCCTAAATTTAAGGTTGGAGGATTAGTAGTACCTAAAGGAGGACATATCTACCCTTTTACTTCCTCTTTGTCCTCTTCTCCTTCCTCCAGTAACCTCAGGTAACCCAGTTGGCTCAGCGTGAAGGGGATTTGCCCCCTGGATCCCAGTGAAAGTGTTTTGGTTGTGGGGTGGTTCATTCACAGTGCTTTATTTTAGCAGATATGCACAAGAAAACATGCAGCAGAAATTTGGTGGAAGGGTATCAGCACTCAGGACTCTCAAAAATTTTAGGTAGGCAAATGTGTGCCCTGAGTACTTCTAAACAGAGAGAATATCTGTTCCTTAATTTGTGTCTTGGTAAAATGATGTCATGTGTGAAACTATTACTACTATTAATGTGTGTGCAAGTATGAATTCCCTGGTAAAATATCAGTTGGTACCTTAAAAAGACACACAGAAATACACTGAAACCCCTAAAAGGTGCCATTTAATCTGTTATAACCTTTATAAACATTTTTTGACGTTCAGATCTGTAGAAATGTTATTCATTATCCAAGTTGTTGGCCTCATAATTCTTGCTCTGAGATGTGTTAAATATGTCATAGTATATTAAGATGCAAGCAGTGTGTTCTTTTAGAGTGTCTGACTAAAAAGTGATGTAAATAATCCTTTGCCTGATAGTCGCTTATGTAAGACCACAGTGAGATTTTCAGAGCTGAGCAGGGGTTACTCAGTACCTCTATTTATCAAGTGCCATGTTTGGAAACTCCTTTCCCACCTCACTTTCTCTACTCTCAGTGTAATTAGTAGTATGTAATGATACAACAATGCAGAAAGTTCTTGCATTTTAGTATTTGAGGCAGTCAAGGAGTCATACAGGTCACTTAGGAAACTGCGTTACTCTGCCCTGAGCTCACACTAAAATCAGTATTTGCCAAGCAGTGTCCCCTGACTGGATCACATTCCTTGAGCAGCAGCTTTTCCTTGACCACATACCCTGAACAGCCGCTTTCCATGAGCTGCACAAGGGTGGAGTGAGGGTTATTTCTCTTAGATATTAAAGAATATGTTGCTGCCCCGTTAAGGCCTTACTCCCCCTTTGCACTTGGCTTTCTCCTGGTGCACTTTTTCCCCTGAGGGAGGCATGGAATGGCCATGACTCCCTTGGGAAGCGAGCAAGTGCCTGCTGCTGTCAGCACCCATGGAGCCCCGGCACTTTGTCATCATTTTCTCCCTGCAGGAGCCAGGAGAGTCGAATTACTGCAGATTTCGGTGTGGGAACAGGTGGAGGTTGATCCCATTATCCCTGCTGGTTGGAGCGTGCATTCCATCGGAACCACGCGGGATGGGACCAGCAGAACAGCGAGGCAACAAAGGCAGAAATTTCAAAGAGTGAGAGGGGCTTGTTTATGCATTTCAACAGATATTTCATTTTAGAGTCCAGTGACTCGAGCGAGAGCCGGGGTTTTCCCTTGGCTGGTCCCCAGGCTATGCAGATGAAGTGGGTGTGTTTGATGAACAATGTAAATATAATTCTCTATCAAATACATACAAAGCTCATGCTATAGAGACATTCTTCAGCCTAAATTTAGATTCCCACTCAAGCTGCAGGTAACACTTAAACAAACCCAGCAGTGTGCACAAGCAGGAACTGTTCACCTCCCTGCCTTGGCAGAGCTCTGCTGATAAAATTCCTCTGTAACCAGGCTCTGGTTCTGTGGGCAGCCAGGAGGGATTGTACCCAAAAGAAACCACTATGTGGGCGAACTTTTCTGGGCTATTCTCAGAGCAATATGCTTTTAAATGACGTCAGCTTTATTTAAGAAGTGATTGGTGCTGGTTGTGTTCCCAGGTCAAAATGTAAATAGCTCATCGGGAAGGGTAATTTATATGAGGTGTGTTGGGGGGAAGCTCAAAGTATATCACAATAAATATGGGTGGCAACAAAAAATAGATTAGCTGTGAGTTTTGCAGGCTCAGACTCTTAATTCCCAAAGAATTGCTCCTTGAACTGAAAAGGGATTATTAGGTTCCTCTGCGTGTCCATGTCGACCTCTGTGTGCATCACATCCTTCACCTTCCTGCTGCATTTCAGTGTGTTGGTACAGACATAGAACACTGACAGGTTGGTTTGTGCAGTTTCTGGGATTATGGAAATTGGGAGTTTATCCTTCCTAGAGTGTGTCTTGAACTTAACTGTATGCATAGTGGGCATATTAGTTCCCCTTTACAGTAGGAATATTGGGCTTGTGTTTCCTGCCCTCATCACCTGCTGACACTTGGAGGCTAAACCTGTGCTGCTGGAGCAGGAGGAACTAGTTGGAGCAAGGAAAAAATCCAGATTAGAAAAATTACCCCTAGAGAGGAGGATGAAGCACTGGGGCTTGTGCGTGGCTCTTTGTGAACCAACCACATGAAGAGCAGCTCATGTTTACAGCCTAAGCAGCTAGTTTGGGATTGTAACTTGGAATCATGGAGTATCCTGAGTTAGAAGAGTCCCACAAGGATCATCAAGTCCAACTCTACTTGCAGTAGAAGTAGAAAGAGCTGGATGTCCTGGTGCAGGATGTGCCTCTCCTTTGACATAAGCAGTGTAGGAGAGATGAACATGTTAGATAATATGGGATTGTCTGGTTTTGGTGTGTGTGGGGATGTTGGTTTGAGAGGATTCCTCATTTTCAATCCTTACTGGCACAGGAGGGATAGTCAGTGCTGCTCTTTATAGGCAGATCATCTGGGAATCACCTGACTGCCATAAGGGATAGCTGTGCCCACATTGAGCTGTGCAAAGGGATTGAGTGCTGAGGTTCTGGAGCAATTCCGACTGCTTCCCTCTCTAGTAATGAGGAACTGGGATTCTGCCTGTGGATGGATATGCAGTAAAAGCCAGTCCTTGCCCCTCCTGGTCATGCCTGGTGCTCCCCAGCAGAGGCACACGCGTTCAGAGCTATGGATTAAATTGCCAGCTCATCCTTAAATAGCAGCTTCCACTGAGCTGTAAATGCAACGCAGAACATGCTGGAGCCAGGAATTTGAGGAAGGAGGAATTCCACCCAACAGAACTGCTGAGACTTGAAAATCAAGCTGGGTTTTCTTCTGACAACTTCAAAGCAGGGAGCTCCCTGTAAGTGCAGGCTCGGGAGTGACTACAGCAGCTCATCAAGGGCCGTTGTTCTCTTCAGCAGCTCACAGGGCTGTGGAGCAAACAGAGAAAGTTGTACTGTGTTATACTCAGGAAAACGGAGAGATACTGCTGAATGAAGTAGTTATTAAGTTCTCTAAAACCCTGCTTTTGCCCTGGTGACCTGTACACTGGGGGGCTGCTTTGGTCAGGCTTCTTCAGCTCCTGCTTTCCCTGCTCATCCCTGCCACTAGTGAGGCCTCATTTTGTTCACTATTACGACTTCGTTTCATTGACATTTTGAGGAACAACATAATCTAAGTGAATACACAGCTTGCCTTGCTTAGAGGGATTTGATGCCATGCCTAAAACTAAGAGAGATCCATCATTTCAGCATCCCAGCTGTGGGGAGGTAACAGTGGGGGAGCAAGGAAGGAAACAGTTCAATGGTGAGAGGCAAAGCTTGAGCAAATTCAGAGGTTTTCCACCTGTGGAATCTGAGTTACAGTTACTTTTGAAAGTCCTGAAATTGATTTGTTTCAGTTCACAAATTGATGCTACCCTAAGCTTTAAGGTGTGCTCACCCACAGCGTGGGATGTTCAGCCCAGGAATTGCCTGCTGCCAGTAAATTGCAAGTGAGGGTTGTATGTTTGATTTCATACCAACACCCTGTTTTTTTCTCCCTTTCCTTTCTCTTCAATCCTTCCCTCCCTGCATGTTCACCTCCCCTCCTCCCTCGACATTCCCCTTCTCTCCTCCCTTAGGCCTGTATTGATGAAAACCTGGACATGGTGAAGTTCCTGGTAGAAAATGGAGCCAATGTGAACCAGCAAGACAACGAGGGCTGGACCCCTCTGCATGCAGTGGCTTCCTGTGGCTATCTGAACATAGCAGAGTGAGTGAGTTTCGGGCTATTCCGGGTATTTATAACACTTCCCGTGCCTTTCTCATCACAGCAGGTACACAGGTGATGGATACTGTATATACATTTGTATATCTCTTTGGTAGAGAAGGCAAATTTAAAAACTGATGATGGCTTGGCTTGCCGGTTTTTTAAATTTATTTTCTTTTTAGGGGATAATCAACCAGATTAGTGCAGGAACCTGGAGTATTTAAATAACTATAGAGAAAAGAAAACTATGAACCCCCGAGCAGGAACCTTGCATTAGCAGTGAACATTTTTAGTCTAGAAATTGGCTAAGAATAAGGTACTCATTTGGTAATTGAACTTGAATGAGAAGTTTTTGTGCTGCCTGCTGTACTGTGTGAGTTGCTCTGACGCCTTCACACGAGGGCTGATGTGCTTGTCTGGGTCTCGTGGGTGCAGGTACTTGATTAGCCATGGAGCCAACGTGGCTGCTGTGAACAGTGAAGGGGAGGTCCCGTCTGACATCGCAGAGGAAGCAGCCATGAAGGACCTGCTTCTGGAACAAGTGAAGAAGCAAGGTAAGTCAGCTGTGGGATTGAATATGGGAGAGTCAGAGCCTAAAAGTATCCATAAGAGAACTCTGCTGCCTTGCTGTCTGTAAGTGAAAAGATCTAAAGTCTCAGGAGACAGCAGACAGAATTTACTTTGCTGTCAGGACAGTGGAGCAGATGCAGGAGGTTTGTGGTGTGTGGTCTCTGTCCTTGGGATTCTACAAGGCAAGACACCACAGTACTGAAATCTGATTCATTAGATCGTTTTGCTTGTAAAATGAGATTTAATCCTGACCTCTGCTATCATTCAAAGGTCTTGTTTCACTAAGACTTGATAAAACAGAGGTGAGATTTACAGCACTTCCAAGAGCAGGGAACAGGAAAGGAGTATTCCAGGCCTGGAGTGACCTGCTTTGTCCTGATCCTTCCCTGGAGTTCTTCTGCAGCCCATCTGCCATGCCCCCTTTCTCATCAGGTGTGCCTGGCTGAGGGGTTGCTCTCCAGACTGTCCCTGCACAAACATTCCCAGTAGAATCATCTTGGACTCTGTAGCTGATGTTATAATTAAGAAATGCTTTATTAGCGTGACATTTTCTTCAAACCCATGGAATTCATCTGTGAGTCATTAAATCTGTGTACACGTGGGTGAGAATTTTAAATCCTGTCTACAAAGTTCATCAAGAATGTTTTTGAAGGATGCAGTGATGGAACAGGGAACCAAGGAATTTCTGGAACTCCCATCATTGAGTGTAGTCAAAGCCCAGCTGCATTCAGCTCTGAGCTATTGGATCTGGATTTGAAGTTACCCTCCTTTGAGCAGGGATTTGGGCTAGAGATCCCCAAAGATTATTTTCAGTGTGGATTATTTTATGCCTGCAGGTTGATGTGGGGATTGTCTGCACGCTGGATTGAATCCAGTCCTCTGTGAGATATGTTCTGACACATGGTGGTTACTTTATTTTTGAAGCTCCTTTGAGGTGTAGTTAGGGAGGAGATCAGTCCCGTGGTACTTTGTCACCCGTGTTACTGTTCCACAGGTGAGTTTGTAGCTGTTCATCTGAGAGCTGGTTGTTATTTACTGTAGTGCTCCTCTTGGAAAATTGATGCAGGATCATCTTCCTTCTAAACAAAAACTTTTCACTTTTTAGTCCAGGGATATTTGTGACAAGGTTATTCTTATTTTGTTGCCCTTTCCCATCCCCTTTAAAATAAGGTTAAGTAGCTCTTCTCCCTTATATTTACTCTGCTCATGTATTTTAAAAAAAAGATTTGTGTCTGCAGTCAGCCTTTGTTTTACTGGGCTGTCCAAGCCATGCCTTTTTTCCTGTTGGCATTCAGGCCTTATTGAATGCCCAGAAAGACAGAGATCCTTTCTTTGCAGCAGTGTAACTTTGGTCTTTAAAGTGGTTATCAAGAGCTGTGCATAGAGTCAGAGAATAATTTTAGTTGGAAGGGACCTTAAAGACCATCTCATTCCACCCCCTGCCCAAGGCAAGGGGTCTTGAACACTTCCAGGGATGGGACAGCTGCAGCTTCTCTGGGCAACCTGTGCTAGGGCTTCCCCACCCTCACAGGGAAGAATTCCTTCCCAATATCCCATCTATCCCTGCCCTCTGGCAGCGGGAAGCCATTCCCCCTTGTCCTGTCTCTCCATCCCTTGTCCCAAGTCCCTCTCCAGTTCTTCTGGAGCCCCTTTGGACACTGGAAGGGACTCTAAGGTCTCCTTGGAGCCTTCTCTTCTCCAGGCTGAACACTCCCAGCTCTCCAGAGCCTGTGGGATCAGCCCAGCACACTGGGAGTCACCACACACAGGCGGGGTGTGTTGAGCTTCTCATCCCCCAGCACCCCCAGGTCCTTCTCTCCAGGGCTGCTCTCAATCCATTCATCTCCCAGACTGGATTTGTGCCTGGAGTTGCTCCAACTCAGGGGCAGGATCTTGTGCTTGATCTCGTTGAACTTCATGAGGTTCGCATGGTCTCACCTCTCCTGCCTGTCCAGGTCCCTCTGGGTGTCCCATCCCTTCCCTGTGGTGTGTGACCCCACCACACAGCTCGGTGCCATCAGCACCTTGCTGAGGGTGCTGCAATCCCACTGTCCATGACACCAACAAAGGTTAAACTGCACCAGTCCCAACACCGACCCCTGAGGACGCCACTCGTCACTGGGCTCCACGTGGGCATCGAGCCATGGGCCACAACTGTGAGTGTCACCATCCAGCCAGTTCCTCATCCACTGAGTGCTCCATCCACCAAATCTGCATCTCTCCAGTTTAGAGGCAAGAGTGTCATGTGGGACAGTGTCACGTGCACCAGTCCAGGTAGATGGTGTCGGTCACTCTTTCCTCATCCACCAGCACTGTCCCCTGTCAGACAGGGCTGTGTCAGGCACAATTTGCCCCTCAGAGAAGACAGGTTGGTTGTCACCCATCACCTCCTTATTTTCCATGTGCCTTAGCATAGTTTCTAGGAAGATCTGCTTCATGACCTTGCTGGGCATAGAGGAGAGACAGGTTGGCCTGTAGTGCCCCAGGTCTTCTTTTCCCTGTTTAAAAATGAGGATTATGTTTCCCTTTTTCCAGTCTGTGGGGACTTCACTGGACTGCCACAACTTCTCAAATATGATGGAGAGTGACTTAGGCACTTCCTTCGCCATCTCCCTTGGGATCCTTGGATGCATCTCATCAGGTCCCATGGACTTGTGCACCTTCAGGATCCTTAGATGGTCTCGAACCTGGTGATAACGTGGTTGAAACCTTACAGGACATCAAGGCAACGATCCTGCCTCAGCTGCAGGTATTTTGCCTGACACTTTTTGGGATTCTGCTTGCATTGCTTCACCACATTAGCTGCATCCTGCTAAGATGCCCTGAAACAACCATCTGTCTCCACTGAGAAGCTTCCTATCAACACAGTTTAAAGGCTCATAACTGCTGGAGGAAATGGAGTTGAACTTTAAATAAGCTTTGTCCTGCTCAGGGCCTGTCCTCAGCAGTGGCTTGAAGCAGATGCCTGGTGCAAACTGGAACAGCACAAGTGAGTAAAATTCCCCTCCCAGACGTTTTCCCAGTCTCCAGCCACTGTGCCTCCAGGAATTCCTGAGCGAGATGGGCTTTCTGTGTACTCATGAGTCCCCTGTGGTTTTCTGTTTCATGAGCTTGTCAGCCCTCCTTGGGAGATGCAGCGTGTCCAGCATTATGGGTAATAACTACAAACATGCCAGGTCCTTGTTCTGGAGCCAGTTGTGTTTCTGATCTTTGCAACATCCTGCAGCAGTGGGTCTCATGGGTCAGACTCTGGGTGAAGTGTTTTCTTTGGTGCTATTTTAAACCTAGTGCCATATAATTTAATTTGGAATCGTGCCATCCTCATAGTGAAAGAATTAATCCGTGGGGACACTTACTCTTCAACACTCTTCTTGATTTTTGAGATTTGTCATCTTCTCCTTTGTATTTTGTCCTGAATCAGCGAGTTCTGATATGATTAATCTCGTGTGGAGCTGTATCATATTTGTGATTCATACATCAACCTTCCATGACCTCTTTATTGTGAAAACTCCACTTAGGAAAACAAGTCTAAGTTAGTTTTGCCTCTTGTTGGTTTAGTGAGAATTGACACAGTCTGTCAGCCAGACCCACCTGCCTCTCCAATCATCCACCTACCTTTCCACATCATCCACCTGCCTTTCCACACCACAGCAGTTGTTTCCTAAGGTGGGAGACTCATTCCTCTTGTTGTTACAGAGCCTCACAGTCCATGTGTCTGCTATACCAAATGTGTGTGTTGATGAACTTGCCTGATCTGACTTCAACTAAAGCAGTGGCAGCCACCAGAGTACATTTTTTTTTTTGCCTTCTTGTCCCCAAATGATTTAGAATTGTGTTTTGTCAGAATCAGGGGGCTTGCTGCTCAGTGGGATAACTCTCAGTGTGCCTGGCAGGAATGGCTCTGGAGCAGTGCAGATCCCTGTGTGTGTCACTTGCAGGTTGTCCTGAGTTTTGAGTGTGCACAGAGCTGGGCTCACACTGCTCTCCATAGGAGACACCTGAGGATCAAGTCTTCGGACCTTCACTACAGATTACACTCTTGTTACAGTGCAATTCAGTTGGTTAAGCTGTTTTTCATGACTTTTTTGTTTCAGTCTGGGACACATAGGCATCTGTAGAATGTTATTTCAATCTGGCATATCTAGAATTCAATCCTTCCACCCTTAGTGCACTTCTAAGCTTGTAGTTCCTTGGGGTGGGTTGCAACCTCTGGCCCAACTTTCAGATTTTGTAAGTCAGGCTGTTTTTGAAGTCTCTGTCAATGACACAAGAGCTCTCCCAGCTCATAGAAGGTGCTTTTGCTGATTGTTTTGTGGAAGATTACAAAGAGTTTACTAATATTGCTCAGCAAATGAAGCGTAGGGTAAGTTTAACAAGTACTCAGGAGCTTTCCCTTGTTCATCTTCTCTTCTGTGCTTCACCCTCTTAGGTGTAGACCTAGACCTGTCAAGGAAAGAAGAGGAGCAGCAGATGCTCCAGGACGCCCGGCAGTGGCTGAACAGTGGGAGAATTGAGGATGTAAAGCAGCCTCGGACAGGAGCCACAGCCCTTCACGTTGCTGCAGCCAAGGGCTATTCTGAAGTCATGAGGTAGGAGAGCTCCTCCCCAGGGCTGATGCGTTGAATTAGGGCTGGTTTTATTTTAAAGAACACATCTGGCTTTACAGTTGAGAGAAATTTGTTCCATACTGAGATTTTTCAGGCTGCTGTTTCTCAAAAGGCTGTGTGGTTTTATGTGCCCAGCCACAGTGGTTCACCCAGAAATACACAGGGACTGGAGTTCATACCTTGAAGTGAGGAAAGCTTTTCAAAGAGCAAGGCAGAGGAGGTCTCATTTTCACTATTAGAGTAATAGTTTTAGGACTAGCAAGTGAAGCAGCATTAGGGGATGAAAGTATAATTTTAGCCTACAAAGTGTCAACACACACTTGCAGTGTCACAAACACCCCAAAAGTTTACATGACCAGTCTGATGGGAAAACCCAGGGTCCACCTCTGTCTCACTGTCCTCTGCCCTGTACTGCTACTGCTCCTGCAGTGACAGAGGAATTCCAGCAGCTCTGCTGCCTGGGCACTAATAACACTATTATGAACATCAAGTTGCCCAATTTAGGGTTTCCTGGCAAAAAAACATTAATATTTTTACAGATAAGGTCAAATTAAGGTTTCCAAAGTAGAGCTTTCTTTGCTATTTGTGGGTGGAACTGTCATAAACATGGAGTCACAGAATCCCAGAATGGTTTGGGTTGGAAGGAACCTTAAAGCTCATTTCATTTCACTCCCTGCCATGGGCTGGGACACCTTCCACTATCCCAGGTTGCTCCAAGCCCTGTCCAACCTGGCCTTGAACACTTCCAGGGATGGAGCAGCCACAGCTTCTCTGGGCAACCTGTGCCAGGGCCTGCCCACCCTCACAGGGAAGAATTTTTACCTAATATGCAATCTAACCCTGCCCTCTGGCAGTGGGAAGCCATTCTCCCTTGTTTTGTCACTACATGCTCTTGTAAATAGTCTTTCCAAGGTTACTCTACTGTCCACATTAAAATCTGTTCTGGATGGGTTCATCTGTCTTGATTCTCAGTTTCATAATTTTAAGTGACATGCATAAGAGCTGTTTCATCTCAAGCTCAAGCAGTTTTATTATTCTCTGTGTTTCTGACTTGTATTCAATCATTAGAGCTTATAATTGAGTTATGAGCTGTCTGTGCCTGTACCATGCCCGAGAACAGGAATCTAACACAGCTCATGTGAACAGAAATGTAATATCTCCTGCACTGGAGGTGTTGGTCCCGTGGACTGTCAGAGGAGGGTTGTATATCCAGTGCTCCTTGATGAAGTTCACTGTGTGTGCAGGGTCACTTTGTTCTGGACAGGGACTCCTTGGCGTTAATTGTTTTAATGATAAACAGATCTCAGGGCAGGCTGACATTGTTCCTCTCTTGTGTATGTTATGGCCATGCATTAAGTCCAAATACAAATCTTCAATGGCTTAAACCAAAGGGGCTGACAGCCAGGAGCCAGCTCACTCTAAATGGGACATGGAATTTGTCTGTGACCTTGAGACTCTTAGCAGCTCTATTCCTCCCTTCTGCCAGCTGGAAAATCAACAGAAAGTCAGCACCTAATTTAAAATTTCTTTCACAGAGAAGCCCACAGCTGCTTTACTGTCACTGTGTTTTATTTAGCACAGTAGCACATCGGTGTAAAGCTACAGGAGTTTCCAAGCTGTTGATGCCATTCTGGGGTCGTGCTGGATTTGGCTCATGCTGTGCAAAGGTGGCTCTGGATGGTGGATTTTCCCATGATGGAAAGTTTCAGTAGCAGTTTTACCAGACTTGCAAAATTCCCCTGGGATGATCTTCAATATTTAAGGAACTTGGATAATAGTTTTGATGCACGAGCTGCTCAGTGCTCTCACCTGATCACTGCCACTGCACGTGGCTCTGGAGCCTCAGACTACACTGACCCCCTTGTGTTTGTTTTGGTGTTAAATATTTCAGCTCCAGATGTCGTGAAACACCAGCATTCTGGTCTGATGGAGAAGAGGGGGCTGGAAGGGGCATAGCATTGAGTGCCTGGGAGTTCCCAGGCAGCTTCACTTGGGGAAGATTTACTTGAACTGTGCAAGTGTGAAAAAATGCATTGTGGGTTGTTTAATCCAAATGGGGGTTATTTAACATATGAATTTCACCCCTGTCAATCACAGTAATGTCACTGGTGCTTTCCTGGCAGTCCTGCTGGTCTCCTTATGGACCATCCCACACTGTGGCCTTGTGCTCTCGTAGAACCAAGGCCCAGCTCCATTTCCCAGACGTCCCTCTCATGGCAGGTGCTGTGCTTGGTCTCTCTTGTGGGGATGCAGTTGCAGAGATGCTGTTTGTGTACTCGGTGCCTGAGCCAGTCCAGGCTCTCTCCTCCACTCAAGCAACAGTTCAGGCTGGGTCACCAATGCCAGATGAGAAATTAAGGTGGTCCCCAAATTTATGGCATGCTGAAAGGAAGCATCAATTTGACACGTTCCAGCAGGTTTTACATCAGTCACTTTTCATTTACTGCCCTTTCCCATCACAGTTTGGAGCACATGGAGTGGGATATTGCTTGGGGGAATAAAGTACAGAAGCTCATGGTGGTGAGCTGGGCTCACAGGGGAACTCTGCTCAGTCGGGAAGCCGTTCTTGGATGAGCTGGGATCAGTAGTGCTTCTTTCCCCAGGCTTCTGATCCAGGCTGGGTTTAATCTGAATGTCCAGGACAATGATGGCTGGACTCCCCTCCACGCTGCCGCACACTGGGGGGTGAAGGAAGCGTGTTCCATCCTGGCCGAGGCTCTGTGTGACATGGACATCAGGAACAAGCTGGTGAGTACAGGACTAATGCAGTGTATTTTGTAGCCAGATTAACAACAGCTTTATTGCCTGGTGCTTGATCATGGAATCACAGACTGATTTGGGTTGGGAAAGCCCTTAAAGCTCATCTCATTCCACCCCCTGCCATGGGCAGGGGCACCTTCTGTGATCTGTGGTCACTGTCACATGTGTCCCTGCTCTGGACTGAAAGGGAGTGTCCCTCACCTTTTGGGGAGGGAGGATGTGATGTATATTCACTGGTAAATAGTGCTTTTTTTGGCTATTACCACCGTGCCTTATCAGGTACCCTCTTGTGTTCTCTCACTGCACCAGGGCCAGACGCCCTTCGACGTGGCTGATGAGGGACTCGTGGAGCATTTAGAAATGCTGCAGAAGAAACAGACTGTGGTGAGCTTCTGGAGATCATTTTCCACCTCTCCAATTACCTTTCCACACGCAGGTGTTCTCCAAAACATATGGTGCCAACAGATGCAGGAAAATGAGGCCCAGCTATCTTTTTTTGTTGTTGTTAGTTGTTTGCAGTCTTTAATCACAGCAGTCTTTTTAATAGCTGGAAATCCAGATAACTGTATGACTGCAGCAAGAAGGTCAGTAGTGTACTGGCATGCAGAATTATGTGAAATGGTAAGGAATGTACAGTTCACCTTTGGGATTGTTATTATCCTGCAGTTTGCTGGCATCACACCCTCTCTAGCATCAAACTGCTCTGTTCCTAAGGAGTGATTTCCAAGTCCACTTTGTGTTTACATCCAAGGAAATACACTATCAGCACTGAGAAAGAGTTCTGTTAACCATGTCTGCCTCTTTTACAATAGGGAGGCTTTGGATTGAGGGAGAAGAAATTAAAAGCTTCAGGGAATTCTGAAGAAATGGGACATTTCAAAACCGTATTAAATTGCCATTTCATGGTGCAGTGGAGATGTTGGAGGGGGTTATAAGCCACAAGTTGGCATAAAAAAAGGAGAGCAAAAATATACCTTGGCCAAAGTAAGGCCAGCTGTCAAACCAGAAAGTTGTTTTTGGATTGGATTTTTTCCTGTTTTATCTGATCTACTCAATTGTCTCATTTGGGTGCTTCCACAAAACAAGCCAAGCTTCTTTAAAAAGAATTAAAAATCTGTATTATTTAAAAAGTTGGATTCAGAAACAGACAGAATGAGAACAGTGCTGATAAACCCCGGGAAAGTATTTTGAGGAACTGACAATGTGGGTGGTTAGAACTCCAGCTCTGATCACAACACAGCTGCTGCAATCCTCAAATAGCAGCCTTAACATTCACAGGAACTTCTTAAAATTAATCAGCTTCTCCCTAAATGAGGTGTTGATAAATACTATCAGGGTTGTATTTTGGATTCCCTCCTCTCCCACTACCCCAGGATTCTGCAGATAACTGCACTCCTTAAAAGAAAAGAAAAAGAAAGACTACTAGAAGAATTTTTTTTGTTGGGTGCTCACCCATTTTTAGGGTTGTTTTGCAGGGGCTACAACCCCTCTGTTCTCTATATAGCAACACTATATAAAGGCCTTTTCCATTTATTCATTTAGTGTGGAACTGGGCAGAAGAATCCAGATTGTATCACACTTCTTTTTTTTTTTTTTTTAGTGGATATGATTTTTTAATGGAAATGCCATTTTATCGTGTGCGTTTATCATGTGCCATTTTTATCACTTAAAAATAGAAAACTCATATTTGTTAAGGATGAAAGAGGCAATTCCATGACATTGCTCTAAGTCATTATTTCACTTTGAAAATGGCTCTCAAATCAGATGTTTTTTTACTCTAAAGCTTGAGTCAGAACACTGTGCCCTCCTTGCTTAAAGATGTGCTGCTGCTATTGGAGAGCAGAGGGGATTTTTGTTTGCTGGAAGCAATAATTTGGTTTGGGTTTGGATTTTTTTTCCCCATCCCTATGAATGGAGCAGGCTGTTTCCTGCCTTAAATTGAGCCTCTGCCATCTCTTCTTCTGCCTCAGCTATGTCTGGGCTTCTGGAAGGTACTAAAATGATTTTTGGGAACTATTTTGTCCTTTAATGGCAGCAGAATTACTTTTGCTACTCTCTGGGCAAAATGTTTCCACTGCTGTGGTGATCCCAGGTGTTCTTGTGCAATGATTTCATGCATTTGGGAGATTTAAGAAGTGACCCATCCTGACTTGAATGTTTTCCTCTGAGAACAAGTCAATAATAGCTACAAAGGCAGCGAATTCTTGACTATATCCAGCCTGATTTCATGGGCACACACACGTGTGGACAGATCTCCAGCACAATCACAGAATGGTTTGGGTTGGAAGGGACCTTGAAGTTCTTCTGGTTCCACCCCCTGCCATGGGCAGGGACACCTTCCACTAGACCAGGTTGTTCCAAGTCCCATCCAGCCTGGCCTGGAACAGTTCCAAGGATGGGGAGCCCACAGCTCTCTGGGCAGCAGTCAGGGTTTGTCTCTGGGTCTGGGCAGGGACTGTTGCACGTGCCTCTGAAGGGTTCATGTGGCACTGTGAGGACCTGCTGGGTGTGTAGCTGTGCCCTGACAGAGCTCGAGTGCAAGGCTGGCAGTGCCCTCGCAGATGTGCTGTTGTTGAATTGGCTTGTTAAACAAATCCACTGTATTTTTGGTCTAATGAGGCGGGGCTGACCTTGTGCTCTGGTGGTTATTGGATTGTGCTGAGGTGGCTGGTTAACAAGTCTCTTCTCATTCTTTCTCCAATCTTCCCGGGCTTTTTGACAGTTGCGAAGTGAGAAGGAGACGAGGAATAAGCTGATTGAAGCTGACATGAACGGGAAGCCTCAAAGCAGGCTCTTCACCAAGTAAGTCTGGTGAAAAGGAGCTGCCCAGGGAGTAATGAGAGAGCAGCTTCATCTGTCACAGCCAGCTGGCTTCAGCTGGGTCAGAAACAGTTCACTGCTGTTCATTTCATGGTTGTTTCAAGTTTGAGCTCTCTCAAATAAAGTTTTAGTTATTTCTCAGCACACCCACTGAGTGGTGGAACAAGGGGTCGGTGCTTGGTTCTCCAACTCCTGCTCTGGCTGAGGATCAGTGGGAGCTTTGAGCTGAGAGCTGCACCTTTTGTTGCACGGAGCCCTCCAGCTGCTGGGCTGGGTGGCTCTAGGAAAAGAAGAGATCACATTGTTTTGGATGGAAAAATGCTTGCAGATTTAGGAAATGGGAGACTGGCAGTGGAATCCATAGCGAATGGGCCGTGCTGGAAGTGCTGGGGTGTAGAATCTGTAGATGGATTTTGTCCTTTGCTTGTTCTATATGTGGTAAATCACGTCTGTGTGTTCCTGAGAAGTAGAACTCAGAAATAACTCACTCGCCTGGGGAAGGCCTTAAAATTTCTATATTTTGCAGCAAAGAGAAGATTCTTTATGAGGAAGACATGCTGAAGTCCATGGAAATGGAGGAAGAGAACAAGGACTCGAGCAGTTCTAGTTCTGAAGAGGAGGAAGAAGCTGAAGATGAAGTTTCAGAATCGGATGCTGAAAAGGAGTCAGGTAAGACTTGAATTTAATTATTAGCATTCCAGTGTATATATACAGAATATGGAGAAATCTGGAGCTTGTGTGCTAAAATAGCTGATCCAAATGCTGACTCCCAGGTCAGCATAATTTTTCAAAACAAAAATGCTGCAGTTCCCGTTCAATTTCTGCTTGAGATAACACATTGTTTATAGTTTGTTCTTAAACAGGAGATTTTTTTTCGTTTTGGCCCAGTTCAAGATAAACCCTTCAGGTAGTGCAGGATGGTCAGAAAGCAAGTGAAGGTGTAGGAAAGCAATAACCTGTTGTGTTTGGATTACAGACATGAAACAAAGGGCTGAAGCTGTTCTGGGTAATTATAGAGATGAGGAACTTTTTTTTGGTCCTGACTGGGATGTATAATAGTTGCAAAACATAGTGGAAAATAAAGATTAAGTGCATAGTCAGATTAGCCTTTACATTATAGCATACTGCTGGCATCTTACTCCCATTCCTTTTCCATAGTTTCCATGGCTTCCTTAATTACTTTAAACAGTGTTTATGTGCAGCACAGAACGTTTAAATAAAGATACTTAATTTTACAGTAAGCTGAGACTTACTTGTACTTAATATTCTGCAAACACAGATGGATCTTGGTCTGTGATGTGTTTAATGGTTAAATTACTTTTAACATCAGCTTGCTTGGCCTATATCCCAATATCCTAATAAATAAGTCCTTGCAGAGAAGTGCAGTTTGAAGTTTTGTCCTGCTTCTGTGCCAGTGGAATTGTCACCTGTGTCATTAATGCTGCTATGGCAGGGTGAGAGGGGTGGAGAATCCTGGCTGCTCCTCCCAGAGCTGGTGTTACACCATGGCAGTAGCACATGGAAATAATCTTTTGGCTTTTAAATCAAGCAGATCTAGCTGAGAAGTCAGTGGTAGAAACAGACACACAGTCACATATTATTTGCTCCATAAATCAGGGGTTTCCCTGATTATTTAGATATATATATATTTTTAATATATAAATTTATTTCTACATATATAAATTATACCTGTATAAATTCTAGCTGTGTAGTTGTGTGCCAAACCTTGTAATCCTGTTAAACATGGTGGGAGTTTGACCAAAACATCTCAAATGTACAGACCCCTGTAAGAGCTGGAGCTGTGTGGGGTTTAACTGAGCCAGGAACAGCCTAAGATCCTTCAGCAAGGAAAGATCCACAGCACTCACCATTAAATTTTGTGTAAAGCCAGAACTGGTCTTTTTATTGCATTAATTCACTGAGCAAAGCACATTGTAGGAATCTATGTCAAACCACTCAAGCCAATACAAATGGAAGACAAAAAGCACTCAAGTAATGATTAAGCTTCAGGCTTTGTTACCTGTGCTCTACTTTCCTGGAGAGATTAATGGCTCCTTTGAGAAAGTTCCATTAGAATTCAAACCCCACTTTGTAAACTTCTCAAACCTCTGATAGAATGAACGTGGATTTGCCCAGCTGGATGGAGACACAGTTGTCAGTTCTGGCTTTTGCTAATGAGAATTATAAATGTCAGTGTGTTACTGGTTTCAGGGGCAGACAGCTGTGTGCTGGGCTGATCCCACAGCAGGGGAGGGGGGAATTCTGCCCCTCTGCCCCCTCAGGTGAGACCCCACCTGCAGAGCTGCCTCCAGCTCTGGGGACCCAGGCAGAGGAAGGACATGGAGCTGCTGGAGCAGGTCCAGAGGAGGCACCAAGATGATCAGAGGGATGGAGCAGCCCTGCTGTGAGGAAAGGCTGAGACAACTGGGATTGTTCAGTATGGAGAAGAGAAGCTCTGGGGACACCTAATTGCTGCTTTCCAGGACCTGAAGGGAACTTAGAGGAAAGATGGAGAGAGACTATTTACAGGGGCCTGGAGTGAATTTGCAGAGACTGTGGGAGGAAGAAATTGGATGAGAGAAGCAGTGGAATTACTGGAAGGCTTCAGGGTAGCATTTCTGACAATCTGTAAGAAATTTGTGTTCTTCAAACAAAGGGCATTAATGCCACTTTATTCATCTTGAGGACAATTAATTTGGAATTGGGTTGTATATAAAACAAGAGAAAGATCAGGATATAATTCTATGGTCATTATCTGTGCTGGGAACTATTACAATGTGTAATTATTTGGAATTAAAGCAGGCCAGGGAAGCTTTCAGTGTTGTTTTGTTTAAAAACCAACCAAACAAAAACTCTAAATCAAAAACCCTTAAGAGAAAGAAAATAGAAAACTTCATTCTTACTCTCACCGAATTTTTGGGGGAGATTGAACTAATCCTCGACAGTTTCCCTTGATTGGAATTTGTAATGTTTATTGCCGAAATGTCAGTAAAATAAAGTGTGGGACCCTGCCCCAAAGGCAGTGCTGCCCATGACTGTGCCACCTCCTGCTGCCAGCACAGGGTCCTTCAGCCTGTCCTGCTTCTGCAGTCAACTCCCTTCAGTCACACTGCTCACAGTTAGAGCTCTTCCCAGCCTGTCATTACCACTTAAGCCTCTGCCCTTCTGATTAGGCTTGACCTTAAAAGAGATCTCTGAGCTATGAACTTCCAGAGCAGGCTCCCAGTCCCCAGCACCCATCCTGCACAGCCTGGTGCAGCCTCCCCTTGCTGCAGTGCCCTCTGGTTTCCAGGCCTCAGGCTCCAGAAGTCAGCACATGGCAGAGCGTTTATTCCTTGTCTGTGTGCGTTTCCATGGACGCAGAGGCCAAGTGTGCCAAGCCAGGCCTGAGAGGAGGAGTGGGTGATGTGTGGCCCCTTTCCCAAGGGGCTGTGTGACAATGCACCCGAGTGTTTGGCTCCAGAACTGGAATCCTCTTCTGAGATGACTTGGATGGAAGTTCTGAGACAACATAGAAAGGGAAAGTGGCTGAGATTTCGGTCTCACACACACCCGAGGGAGTGGCTGGAGCTGTGTCAGGGGAGGTTTAAGCTGGATATCAGGAGAAGGTTCTTCCCCCAAAGGCTCCCCAGGGCAGTGATCACGGCCCCAAGGCTGCCAGAGTTCAAGGAGTGTTTGGACAATGCTCTCAGGGACAGGGTGGGATTGTTGGGGTGTTCTGTGCAGGACCAGGAGTTGGACTCAGTGATCCTTGTGGATCCTTCCCTGCTCAGATTCCATGATTCTGTCTTTGCCACTTTAATTCAGGCTCTGTCGGTCATGCTCACTGCCTGTTATTTTTAAATGTTTCTCTTGGCTCTTTTCTGTTTTCCATGTCCTTTCAATCCTTTTTTTTCTAGGACTCAGAACATTTGTTTCAGAAAGATTGCTCTTCATGCTCCAAGGTGCTGTCCTCCCAGATGCTCCACCCCAAACTGCTCCAAGTGTGGAACAGCAGATCTTTATTCCCTGCACATACCTCATTTGCTAAGACTGTTTGGGTGCTTATGCTTAAAATTACTTTATTTTTTTCCAAACCGTGTTTGTGTGAGCACTCAGAGCTCTCAGGAAAACATTTTGTTTGGTATAGGCACATCATTTCTCAGGCACGTTGCATGTGCCTGGGTTTTTGGTAAATAGTCTGTCTTCCAGCCCTTTGCACTCCTGTCAACTGAACCTATTGCCTGAGGCACACTTTTTGATTCCTCTCTCCCTGGTAATGTCTGGTGAATGTTCTTCTGTCCAGCTCAGTGCACAAATACAAAAATAAATGTAATGGTGAACAGCTGTACTGGTCTGACCAGCAGGGAGCCAGCTGTGAGCCTGGACAGGGGTTGCTTAGCTTGCTTGGAGCCCTGGTAAAGGGTTTTGCTGGTCAGCAGTCCTGGCTTCCTGTAGAAAGATGGATTTTGCTGCAGAAGACCAGAAATTCTGCCCAGCAGCACAAGCAACTGCAGAGACCCATGCAATGAAACCCACACCAGGCTCCTGGGGCCGTGGGCTGTAACACACCCGTGTGCTCCAGCAGGAACAGCACGTGCTGCTTTTCATCCCAGGTTTTGCAAGGGAAGAACATTCCCAGATAGGGAACAAAACTGTGAAAAACAAAGAGTATGTTTGTCCTCCTTTCTGCTAAGATTTTGCTTGTCTGTGGGGATCAAATTCTAAAGCTTTGCCTGCCAAGTGTATCCATCCTGTTCTTTAGGAAGTGGAAAGCTCCTTGCAGAAAGCCTGGCTAGCCTTGTCATCTGAGGGGGCTGAGGTCACACAGCACTGAACTGGAGTGCAGAGCACACTCTGTGTAGAGATGGGCAACACTGAAACAGTTGGTTTCTCTTCTTGTTTAAATTTGTAGAGAGGAAGGAAGAGCCCTTTGCCAACCACTCCAGCCGTGAATCCAGGCCCAGCATCACTGAGCAAATGCCACCACCCGAGCCCAACTCCTTCACTGCGTCTGCCAGAAGAGTAAGTCAATTTGGAATCAGTGGGGACTCAGCAGTGCTTGGAAGCAGGAGGTTTTACTGGGAGATGGATGCTCTGAAACCAATTTTCAGAGCAGTTTAAGACTTGAATTTAGGAAAGCCTGATCTTAGGCAAATCTGTTAAAGCTCTGTGTTAACTCCAGTGTAGGACTGGCCCCAAGGAGGGTGTTGGTAACATGAGGTTCCTCTTGAATCTCTGACCCTCCAAAGCAAATTGTCCTGTTCCCAAGAAACCCAACCTACAGCACGTGCTCTGTGTGCCGTCAGTTCCGAGGTGGCTGATGCCAATCTCTTCCCAGGAGACCTTTCATCAGAACTGATTCCTGATGGTGGATCGGGGGTGAATTTGGCAGTGTCATCACAAGTGCCCCAGACGTGCCAAACCCTGTTGACTCAGTGTTGTTCCAGCCCAGCAAGCAGAGGTTTGCACTTGACAGGCCAGCTGGACTATGAGAACTTTGAAAGGTGAAGCAGTTACTGCACTCTTACCTGACTCCTCCAGCTCTCACATCACTCAGCTAGATGGCACCAGGAGACCCTGTTCTGCCCAGCACTGGTGTCCTCTGCTGCTGGTTTCTTTTAGCACCAGACTATGGAGAACAGCCACGCAGGCACCTGGCCCCAGGCTGAAGCACTGAGTGCATGTCAGAGGGAAATGTTCCTTGCTTAGTCACAGTTTTGTATTTTTCACATGCTGCTGAGTGTAATTTCTCATCCAGATCAAATGAAAGAGAGCTCCTCTGGGCATTGTTCAACTCAGGCTGCCTTAGCAGGGGAGCTGTCAGAGGTAGAAGGATACTGGGAAGTAGAAGCACTTCAGTTAACCTTTTCCCAGCTGCAGAGGTTTGGTCTCATTCCTTTGAGATGTTTAAACCAAAATAAGGCTGTTAGGGTATGGAAGTTGGCCTGTGTGGAGAGCAGTTATTGATTTGACCTCAGTCACTTAAAATCAGTTACTTTATCTTCTCTTACCTGTTTGATTTTTCTGTGACTCTCCCTGACACACTGGGCTTTGGATGAGAACATACAAGTGCTTCTGTTGCCCTCCATTTGGGGAGTTATTAGGACATGCTGTGTTGTTCAAAATTTACAGGCAGCAGCTTTTGTTGTGGATTTGAGCTTTCTCTGAGGAAAGCATCAAAACTACATTAAAGTTCTAGAGCTGTGTAGGTCAGTAGGCTGGAAGTGCCAGAAATGGTGCAGTACAGACTAACTCTTTGCATTTGCATTAAAATGACATAAGCTGAAAACATTACTCAAATACTGCAGGGATAATTTGAGCTTTGCAGTCTTGAGTCTGAGAGCAGAGCTCCACAGTAACTCCATTTATTCTGGATGATTTACATCATGTAGAATATGGAGTAATAATGCTTAGATCAACTTTGACTGAAAGTACCCAGTGTCCTGCCCCTCACAGTGACCATCAGAAGATAACAGAGAAGACAGAATCTTGCAGGACTTCTGTCCCATCTTCCAGCAATTGGCATTTCAGGGACTTGCTGAACCTGGGGTATTTTTTGTCTTCAGTAGCCCCCGTTGGACTTTTCCTCTGTGAATTTGTGGAGTCACTTTTTGGCTGGGATCCTCTAATGTCCGGGGGCAAAGGGTCCTTCAGCTTAATTACAAACCCTACAGAGCTCCCTGCCCCTGTTCAATTAACCTGCCACACACCAGATTTGTTTGCTGCCCATTGTTCCTTTATGGGAAGGACCAAGGGATAATTGATCCTTATTCACTCGTCTGTGTGCCACTTGGTTTCATGCACCTTGGTCACATCTCAGCCTGGAGATTCCTAATACACTGAGCATCTCCTCATGCAAAACCTCTCTTGCTCTGCTCGTTCTTGTTGCCTTTCTCTGAATCTCTTCCCTTCTTGTCTAATGCTGAGCTGTGCATGAGACCAAAGATGTGATTGTACCCTGCAGTAACACAGAGCTGTAATGGTGCTGTGTTGTGTATTCTTTACTTTTCCAAGAATTCCTATTAATTTGTTTGCTTTATATCTGTCTGGTTCCATGTCCTTTGTAAACCCATCCTGAATTAGCAGAGCAACTAAATCCTTTCTTTTCCATGCTAAACAGTCCAGGTTTCCTCAGTCTTTCCCTTAGTGTCATCACTGGCTCCAGCTCCCTGATGATCTTGGTGGATTCTCCTGGACTCCCTCCAGTTCAGCTGGTGTGAGGGGTTTATTTACAGCCAGTCCCAAAAGACTTGAATACTTGTTTTTGGTTTCTGCCTTTACTGAATAATTCCCCCTTCCTAAAAGGGCGCTAATAAAAGCTTCATTGTTCCTTATATTCTTTCCTCGAAGATGGAGGAGGGCATTGTGCAGGCCAAGAGCTGCACAATGACACAACATTCCTTTCACTGTGTGTCCTCGGGGATGAGGCACTACCTCAGTTTCCATCCCTGTGAGTTCACCTTGAGCTCTGTCCTGTAATTAAAGCAAAGCAGGAAGTCAAAGTCACTCCATCCTACAAGTGTAGCCCAGCTAAAACTGGGGCTTGTTGAAACACTCTGAGAGGTTAGAGCGTGCCTTGCAGTGCTCTCACTTCTTCCCAATGTCCGTGTTTCTGCTCTGCAGTTCAGTTGGCTCAGCAAGTCAGAGGAGCAGAAGGATGAGTCGCCGTCATCGTGGCGGCTGGGGCTGAGGAAGACGGGCAGCCACAACATGTTAAGTGAAGTCGCTGCCACTCGTGAGGCACAGAGAGACAAGGCTGCTTCTATCTATCGTTCCTCCTCCAGTCCTCGGATATCTGCACTGTTAGACAACAAGGAAAAGGTTTGGATTTCAGCAGGGATGCCTTAGTGCAGCCCACTTCACCTCATGTGTTTAAGACCCTTTCCCTTGGAGTTATTGCTGGGTTTTGTATCCATAACAAAGTTGGGTCTCTTTCGTTCTTTGTTTCTTTTCCTTTGCAAATTATTCCTCTCCTATCAGTTGTTCCTCCAGAACTGGAGTTTGCTGCCCCTTTGACCTAATTTGTGCTCAGTTTGGACTGGGCTGCACCTAAACAGGGGCTGCCAGTCTGACGTGGCCCCTTCTTTACCAGAAAATACCAAATCCAGACAGTAGCACATACCTCCAGTGGAAACTCTCCTTCCCTGTCATCTACAGGGATTCCTCCTGTATCCACCAGCTGTATTTGTGACTCCCACCCCACATATTCATTAACTGTAACTACCCCATGGGTAGATGCCCCATCCCTGGCAGTGTCCAAGGCCAGGTTGGATGGGGCTTGGAGCAACCTGGTCTCATGGAAGGTGTCCGTGCCCATGGCAGGGCACTGGACTAGATGACCTCCAGAGGTCCCTTCCAACCCAAGCCATTCTCCAATTCTGTGATTTATAAGCAATTCTGTAAGTTAAAAGATGCTTTTATTCACTAGCATGTTCCTCAGGAAATTACTTTCAGAACTGTGCTGTAGATCTGTTGCCCAAGAAAATGCCTTAAACCGGCTGTCCTTAGATAGGAGAATGCTTGCTTAGTTGAAAAAATTTGAGCATGAATTTAATTGCTACTGAACATTCTGGAAGGGTAAGAGATGTGCAGCTGAAGTCCCTGTTTTGCTTCACCAGGATAAAGACAACAAGAGCTATCTTGCCACCATAGCCCCAAGAAGACTGAGCAGCACGAGCGATATAGAAGAAAAAGAGAACAGGTGAGACTGACTGAACTTAATGCTCAGCTTCCATCCTGTCAGCAGTTCCATTTTTCTGTAGTCATGCTCTGTGAATTTTCTTGGCAGTCCCAAGGACACAGGAATTCACAAGATCAAGAGCCAACTCTGGTCTATAAAGCTCTGCTGTGGTGCTTTTCGTTTGGGTGAGCGGGGTAGCAGGCTGGTTCCTCCACCCCAGTGCTCACACAGACATGGGCTCCATCCAGGGAATTAGGTTTATGCAGCCTTGTTCCTTTTTATGCAAGTGCCTTATTTTGTAGCTGGCACCTGCACTTGCACTTGTCTCTTGTTCAGCAGTCACCTGCAGACCCTTTGTTCACACATCTGTCACTTGTGATTCACTTGAGCCTGTGAAGTCTCCCATGTAGGAACTGTGTCACTGCAGGGTTGTTTTTACAGTCAATGGGTGTAGTTGCCCCTGGACAGAACCACAGTATAAATGGGATATTTATATATCCAGTATCTCCAGATATATTTGAGGAGCTCATCTCTACAAACAGCTTCTTCAGCAGTATCTGAAGGGACCCTACAAGGAAGATGGAGAGAGACTATTTACAAGGGCCTGGAGTGACAGGACAAGGGGGAATGGCCTCAAACTGGCAGAGTGTAGGTTTAGATTGGATGTTAGGAAAAAATTCTTCCCTGTGGGGGTGCTGAGGCCCTGGCACAGGTTGCCCAGAGAAGCTGTGCCTGCCCCATCCCTGAAGTGTCCAAGGCCAGGTTGGATGGGGCAACCTGGGCTAGTGGAAGGTGTCCCTGCCCACAGCAGGGGGGTGGAACGGGATGATCTTTAAGGTCCCTTCCAACTCAAGCCATTCTGTGGTTCAGTTTGTGCTAGAAGGAGTAAAATTTGAGCTTAACCTCATTTTGAGCACTCCCCCAATGGAGGAAGAAAGGCACATGCAGAGAAGTGGCTGTGAACTGTAACTGTTGGGCAGGAGCTGTGGCAGACAACACCCTGAGAGAATTTCAGCACAGCTTGAGATTCTTTGCTGATCTTTTGCTGGAACCTCCCTGCTGTGTTCTTGCTCACTCTCAGCCAGTCTCTGAGATTGAGAGAATCTCAGAGTTTGGCAGAGGCTGCTATCGAGTGGCACATCCAGTGAGTGCTGACAGGTGTCCTTTGCTGGGTGAGTGGGGCCAAGGAGAACTGGCCTGCGGGAACAGATGGTGCCAGGCCTGCTGGGGAGTAGATTTTCCCAATGTTCTTTCCTTTAAAAGCAGCTGAGTTTGACTTCCCAGAACCCACAGGTGTCTGAGAGGGGGTCAGCATGGGCACAGCAATTGGAAATAGAAAATAATTACAGGCTGATGGGGGAATGGATTTGTGCTGCACTGCAAGCTCCAGGTCCTGTCCAGGACCAGAGGGGAGCAGGACACACCACCAGAGGGAAGGAGCCCTGATTTCAGATAACCAGGATAAATAGGACTGCTAGGAATTTATTGATAACTTGTCCGGTAGTTTGAGATATTGCAAATGTTTTGTGTGTTGTTTTCTGCTGCGTGGTTTAGTGCTGGACCTGCAGTGCTGTGTTTATGGTTGGACTCGATGATCTTAGAGGGCTTTTCCAACTTTAGTGATTCTGTGAAAGGATTTGCTGGGCTGGATTGCTTTTGTCCTTGCCTGGATACTTGGGAGAATAAAAACTTCCCAGGAGTCTGGGAAGTTTTACCCATTTATACCATGTTGTTTGATACAAGATGGCAGAGGAAATATCAAATGACACTACTTAATGTGTTACATTAATTTTATGGACTATCTAAATTTCATTTGCAAGTTTTCTGACTAAAAAGGATTTTGTTCCTCTTTATGCAAAGCATTACAGCACGTGTGGTTCTGAAGGGATCTGGCAATAACAGGATCATTAAGGCCAGAACAGGAGTTTCTCTGAGCTGTGTCACCTGTGAGCGTCAGTGCACGTGGGTGTAAGGGAAGGATTTGTGTTGTGGAACTGTAAAGGAGCCAAAAGGAGACTCCAAAGGTTTCTGTAACCAAGCCCTGTGCTCTGTCCTACCTTAGGGAATCAGCTGTGAACCTGGTGAGGAGTGGCTCCTACACCCGGCAGCCGTGGAGGGACGAGGCAAAGGGAAACGAAGCTCCCCATTCTGGTGCACCCACCACTTATGTATCCACCTACTTGAAAAGGTATGTCCAGTTCTGTCTCCTGTGGGTTCCCAGGCAATCAGTTCCACTCTAAACGTGCCTCCCAAATCTCAGCCTCCTGCTTGCTGCCTGCTGCATCTTGTAACTGGCCTTGGGACTCTCCTCTGCTGAGAGCAGAAAAGAAAAATTAAGGTTTTCTGGCATTTGTCATGCTAAGTGGTATTTTTAAAGGCTGTAATTTTTACTGATTTCTAAATTGCTGAACTGAATTTAAATACTCTTGTTCGCATTCAAATGCAAAGTGTTTTCTCCGTTTAATGCTGTTATGGTTAGAATATAAAATCAAAATTGATCATAAAAAAAGATTAAAGTAATCAGAATCTGAAAGCATTGTTCAAATAGCTACTGGCAGGTAAGTTGTAGCTTATCTCCTCGTATTTTGGTTTATATTAGTCCATGTTTATGGCATCATTATAAGAAAGTGGCAGTGATCCCATGCTTGGCACACAGCACTTGTTAGGAGTAAGACTGATGCTTCCAACCACTGTCTTGTGGCAGCAAAGAAGCACTTTGTGCACAGTGTGTGAGAAGTTGTAGAGGCTGATTGTTGGTGAAGGGGCTAGGCAGAGGCAGGAAGGCAATTCCAGGCAGAACTCCTGTAACTGCAGTGTCCTGTTCACCTTTGGGAGGCAGAGCCTCAGTGTCCTTGAGCTGACAGCTCTCTCTGAGTGAGCTGAAGGAATGCCCTGCTCTGGTGAGGCAAATATTGCACTGCTGGGTTTTCACCTCAGTTGTGAGCAGGAGGACCAGCCCTTCGTGCAGGTACAGTGCCACTCCTCACATTTATTCCAGCTAATCCTGGGGACCATCTAACCAGCCTGTGATAAACATGTCACGCTGCAAAGCTGTTGGGTCTCTGCTGAAGGAAAACAGCAGTTCAAGGTTTTAGACTGAGTTTCACTAAATTGTAGACCCTGAACTAAATATCTGTCCTGTAGATGGAACAATTGCTTGAGAGACTTGGGAAGAGGCTGATTTACTGAGTTTCAGTGCTTTAAGGTGGCAGAGGTGAGTGGTGCTCAAAGGGGTGTGTGGCCAATTTCTGAGCACACATAGGCCCTTTGCAACAGAAGGTGAAGCAGCCCCTTCCAGCAGAAGCCTTCTGCTCTGCTGATCCATTGCACTGATTTCACAGCTATCCTGGGACGTGGTGACAGCCCAGCCTTCATAACTTGTCTCTCTCCAAAGCCAGCCTGACAGACCACAGCTGATTCCCTTGGAAAGCCTTTTCCCCTTGCAGCTGGCAGGTCTTGCTGCTCCCTGCTCTGAGGGCCAGCCCAGTCACCCACGGGCTGCCCACTGCAGTCTCACAAACATTGCCTGTTTATCCCAGCTAATCCAGCAGCACATTCAGTGTTACCCTCACACAGTTGTACTGTGTTTCCTTGGTTAAACTGGACAGAGAGTGGGGAAGGTTTAAGCTGCTGTGGGCTGTCACTAATACCGAGTTCCTGTCACAAAGGTTGAATTCTGGCCTTTTGTAGGAGGGTGTTGGTTTACAGGCAGTTACAGAGAAGAGCTTTGTCAAGTAGGAATAAATGTGCTTTTGAAGGAGAGATCAATGGTTTTGCATTTTGTATGCATACAATAGCATCATGATCAATTTGACCTTTATCTCATGTGGTTTTCTGTAGGAGAGCACAGAGAAATTAAATATAATCACGCTGAACCTCTGACTTCTCCAGCCTTGTGCATCAGCCCATAAGATGAGGAAGGGAACCTAGCTACCTGTTAAACATAAGCTTTTTATCATTTTCAAGTATTAACAAAACTCTGAACACAACTCCAAAAGATAAAAGCTCATTCTGAGAGAGAAAGAATTCGAGGGAATATGACATGCTTGGATGTCACTGAGAGGATGACTCCGTATGTCTGCAGTTCCCCTCTGCCTCAGCATTTCACCAATCTGCATAAAGATCACAGACTGGTTTGGGTTGGAAGGGATCTCGTTCCACCCCCTGCCACGGGCAGGGACACCTTCCACCAGCCCAGGTTGCTCCAAGCCCTGTCCAACCTGGCCTTGGACACTTCCAGGGATCCAGGGGCAGCCACAGCTTCTCTGGCCAACCTGTGCCAGGGCCTGCCCACCCTCCCAGGGAAGAATTCCTTCCCAATATCCCATCTAACCCTAGTTATGTTCTATAACCCCCAAACACAGAGTGAACATAGCAGATCATCTTAAGATGTGGAAAATGGGGGGGAGGTGGTTTGTGCAAAAGGGAACAAAATAACTTGCAGCAATGCTGCAAATGTTCTTCAGCTTTAGCTGAAGCAGATATTGAAGCTCTCTCTGTAATGGTACTGGCACTTCTGCTTTCTCTATGGTTGCACAGTACCCTGCTCTGCCAACCTGGTCTCCATTTAATGCCTCCGAACATCCAGGTCACTTTGCCAGTATATTAAAGGGTTTGGAGGAAAACTGGCATAGCAGGTTGGATTAATTTGGCATCCTGCCTCCCAGGAAGGGCTCACACACCAAAACAAAATCCTTTATCCACACAGTTAGTTTCTCCTTCATCTCACATTTATGCAAATGCCTCCTTACTGGTTCTGTTCACATAAAAACCATTGCAGCAAGTCAGGCCAACAGTCCCTGCAGCCCAGACTCTGTTTCTGACACCAACTGGTTTTGAAGGACAAGTTGCAAAAGCCAGGAAAGCTTCAGAGCAATCTTCCATCTCCCACGCTCTCCTTGCTTCCAGCAATCAGGAATTTAGGAGCCAGGGGTTACATTTAACCATTGTTCTTAATGGCCAGTGGCCAACTTCCATACCCAAATCCTAGTTTGATTTCTGCAATGCCCCGTGGCAGTGTGTTTTAAAAAAAGTAGTTATGTACTTTTCGCAAATCTTTTTTATTAGCACATGTGGAAGCTTTTTAGGGTTTGAAGGTTTTTAAGTTAAGGTTTTTAACGCCTTAGCTGTTCTCAGAAGTATTTCTTTTTATTGCTTTGAAATGTTGCTTTGCATTTCATTGCTCATTCCTGGATGGTTCTGTTGTGGTGATAATGTTAGAGAACGAGGAGCAATGTGTCAGTGCCTTTTTCTATTTCTAATGTTGAATTTCAACATAAACTCATAATCCTCCCTTTCACAGATTCCTGTGGACACAGCTGTTAATTAACAGGATTTCCTGGCTAACCTTTTTATTGCAGTTTTCTGGGCCTGTTCAGATCAAATGCAAACAGTGGAGGAAATGCCTTGAAGTGCTCCTCACACTGTGGAGTGCCACCCATGCACAGGGCCAGGCTGGGAGGTGGATTCCCACGGAGCTGGCAGTGCTGTGGCTCCCCTGGGAGCAGCAGTGTGTGCCTGGTGCCCCCAGCACGACATTTCTCTAGCCGTGTGCGTGTCAGAGCTGGCACAGCACCACCACCAAGCCCTATTCCTGCATTCCTCCTGCTCCTTCCCCTCTCATCCTCCACATCTCCACTCTCCCAGGCCCCTGGTTCTGCTTCCATACTCCTCACCTGTTACCTTTCCCTTCTGGAAGGCAATCCTTGTCAGGGTTTACTTGATAACCCTCCTGCATCCTCCCTCCCTCTCCAAGTTCCTGCCCTCTCTTGCAGCCACGCCTCGCTCCCCAGCCTCTGCCTTGGGCTCTCCCAGGATGGTGCCACATCAACCCTGCTGCCCCCAGGGTTGCCACCAGCTTTCCCCCTGCCCATCCTCTCATTCCTTCCACTGGCACATTCTCCCCTGCCATCATCTCCTCAGAACACTCATTTGTGTGGCTCCACAGCCTCTTGCTCCACACACCCACCCCAGCCAGGCTTCTCTCCCCACTCCCACCCTCCGCCCAGCCCATCTCCAGGGCTTGGCCTTTCCCTCTGGAGCAGAGAGCCAAAAAGGGAGGAGGCACTTGCTTCCAACAGGACTTCCTGCTCTCCTGTGCTCCAGGCAGGGGCCAGCATTCCAGAGGAAGCTTTGTTTAGGGTCCAGTGGAGGTTGCTACCTGGTGACAATAACTTACTTGTTCCTGTGTGACGTGGATATGGCAGGCAGCCGTCAACTGAGGAGCCCAAGTGGGAGGTTCCTCCCCATGGAGGCCTTCCAGGATACCCTGTTGTCCCTTCTGGTTCCCATGGGACCAGCTGCTTGTGCTGGGCTGGCCTGGGGCCTTGGCATGTAAAACTGGTTTGTAAATTCGGTCCCTGAGCAAACTGGGCCGGGTCCTTCCTCCAGCCTCCTGTCCTTGGCTGTGATCCTGCCCCTTCCCAGTGTTATTTCAGCCGGGGCTGCTCCCTCTGACTCTTACTCTAGAGTTGACTTCCAGTTTCACTCCATTGTCCCTGGCCTTCCCAAAAACCTGCAGCTCTGTCCCAGCCTGCTGCTTTCCTCACCTTTTATTCCTGGTGCAGCCACTTTCCCCCTGTGTCCTGCCATGGGAGCCCTTAGGCTGCAGGAAGTGCTAGCCAGCCTTCCAACCTTCCTAGCCTTTGATCCTGTGGACAGCCCAGTCTGACCAGTAGCAACCAGGCATTCCAGCTGCTGGGAAAGGTGTGGCAGGGCCCTGGATCCTGCTGGGTTTCTGTGTGCAGGCTGTGAGCAGCCTGTGTGCAGGGCTCTGGCACATGCAAGGAGATTTTACCAGATTTCATCAAGTCTGTTTTCAGAGATGTGCGGCTTCGCCCTCTAGAGTGGATTTTCTCTCCCATTAGTGTGGATTTTATCTCCCACTTAGGCTGGATTTTCTTTGAAAAAGCAAAATGGTCCATCCTTATATCAGAGCTCTTCTCCTTTCCTCCTGTCTCTTCTCCAAAGTACGAGCACTTAAACACTTAGAGATTTTTAGTGAGAATGGTTTTCAGGGTTTGTTTTAAACTGGTAAAATATGTATTTCCCTTGCTCATTCTTCAATATTTTTGGACAGTTGTGATAGCTGTTTTCCAGAAATACAGAGTTTGTGCCAAACATGCCTTAAAGAAAACTGAAGCCTGAACTGATCATCTTTTCCAAAGCTTTAAGCCACTGCAAACAAAACTGGAAGTCCTGGACATCCTTAGGGTGTGATGCAGCCAGACCCGCTTATGTCACTCTCTCCTTCCCTGCTTTAAGCATCCTCATCCTTGCTCCCTGTTCCCACCTTTCCCCGGTGCACAGGGGTGCTCCACGTGCCCTGCTTTCACTGCAGCAGGGCTTTTCCCTTCCCTGATCCTCCTGATTTACCCCCACGCCTTTATTCTCTCGCTGAAACTGAGCTGGGCTTAGCTAAGCCAGGCTCTGCTGGCACAACCTGCGGCAGCTCTGACGGCCTCTCATCTCTTTGCACTCGTTTTGCTACGATGTGGTAGCTGCTCCCTGCCCAGCTGCGAGCCCAGCTGTGGGATGTGCTGTTGAATGTTTACTGTGCTCTGAAGGACGTGATTTTGTGATGTTTTATTACAGTGCTTCATTTGGTAGAAGTAGTGACCTGGGCAGTCCCTACATTTCAGCCAGTCGCAGTCCATCTCTAGCTACCTCACCCACTGCCATTGGCTCATCTACCTCCCCGGGCTCCCCGTGGCAACCTGTCTCTTCCTGCCCCACATCTCTCGGTGTGAACACTCCTGCATCAGCCTGCCACTACACCAGGTAACAGCTCCCGGCCGAGAGAGCGCTGCCGAAAGTCAGCATTTGGGTTGGAAGGTCTGAGTTCTGGAGTGGAGCGTGGATTGGAGTTGTGCTTCTGCCTGGGAAGGGCTGATAAGCAATCCCAGAATGATAAGCAGTCCCGAAATGGTGATGTTGGGCAGTTCCAGCAGTGGGTATGCACTGGCAGGCTGGGAATAGCTGGGATGTGACTGTAGCTCCCTGGAGTGGTCCCTCTTGTCTCTTGACTCAGCCCATGCTCAGGCCGCCCTCGGGCGCTCGGTGTACAAGTTCTTGGAGTTCCTTCCTTCTGCTTATTCACCAGGTACATTTTTCTAATCATTTTTGCTACAAACAGGGAAGTGAAGACTATTAATTCCTCCTACTTATTCTCCTCCAAGTTTTGTAAAACGCATTTTACCGTGGCTGTTCTCCCCGAACACAAGAGTGCAGGGCGAGGAGGATGATCTGTCCGCGCTCCCTCGAGGAGGCTGGGCTTGGTCAGCGCTTGAGTTCACTTGCTTTGCTTTCCGTATGTCTTCTCTATTTCAGAGCCCCTTTCAGGCAACAAACTGATTCTGCTGTAGAGAAAAGCCCAGAGGGCAGCTGTGTTACCCCTCTAGGTGTAATCACAAACCGGGCTGTGCTCGGCGCTGCCAACGGCACCGCGAACGCCGGGGCTGCCTCCGCCCCGGGGAAGGATCTCTCTGCTGAGGAGGCCAGGGAGCGCAGAAGGTCAGTGAGCAGTGGGCTCTGGTGGCCCACTCTGTGGGCAGCTCTCACGTGGTGGTGATGGTGGGGGTGTAGGGACTGGGTTTTAGGTGCTCCGTGGAGTTTCCAGGCTGCTGCCCCTGCTCTTTCTGAAGATTTTGAACTGAGTCATTTCTGGCTTGTAGGTTAAATTTGGTCTTGTAATTTTCTGCTTGTGTCTTCAACATCTGAGCCTTTGTCTTCAGTACTAACCTCGGCTCCTAATCTTAGCACCTCCAGCCTGTGGGTATTCAGGGACAGGCAGCAGAGCAGCCATTCACAGCAGGTTCCATAAAATTAATCCCATCCTAAAAAGAGTGTTGGACTGAGACTCATTCAGATAATATCTGTCCCTCTGATCCTGCTCAGCTGGGTTTGCTTATGCCCTGATGGAGACATCTGCACTGCACAGGACCCCCAGATTCCCTACTGCAGTTAGTGGGGAAAACAAACCTTCCTGGGTTGTGTAGCTGTGTGACACAGGAGGAGATGGACTCCAGCAGCAGGCACAGCTTTGATTGACTGTAAAGGCCAGAGGTGGGAGTCTGCCATGTGCAACCGAGGCCATTCCAGCAGTAGCAGCCTTGGGAATGACTCTGGATCTAGCCGGTGGTATCTCTTTCTTATCACATGATGTTATTTTAAGACTGGGGAAATGCAAACCTGGGGAGCCAGAGCTCTTTTCAAAGGAACCTTATCCTGTGCATTAAGTACAGAATATCAAATGATCTGTGTTTCTTCCTGCAAGCAGGATAACTTTTCCAAAATCTGTCTCTCCTGATGGCATTGACAAAAGCAAATGGTAATAAATAAAATTCCGTGATGAACTGTGTGTTTCTAATCAGCAACCAGTTCATGCAGGATGTATAGTGATTATATTCTTCCAGACTAAAATAGTGATTTATTGAAATACAGCCCTTCCTGAGTAGAGATAGTGCTCTGACACATTTTAAATGGCCTGAGGCCAAGGGGTGGGAAGAGCAGTAATGAGAAATTATCAGCCTAGAAAGCTGAAGGTGGTGAGGCTGAGCTGCAGTGTCCTGTAGAGGGTGGGCTGCTCCACTTCACCTGCAGGACATCCAAGCAAGGTGGGCAGTGCTGCTGGAAAATACTCAAACTTTTAATGCTGTTTGGGCTTTTTTTTTTGTTCCAGAGCCAGCACAGGGAGTGCATTCTGGAGGAGCCACATTCATCAGCTCAGTGTGCAGGGCCAGTTTGTAGGAACTAGTGCAGAGTATCTTTGGTGGGAGAACACTGGGGTTAACCCTGGCAGTGCCTCTGTGTGCTGCTGTTACTTTGCTGGAGGTCACTTGGCTTGGGGTCACTTGCAATTGAATTGAGATGAGCTGCCTAAAGATACTGCCAGTGCCCAGGGAGGTTGTGCAAGAGGACAGAGTGAGTATTGTGCTTTCAGTTCACACTTCAGACCTTTCATAAGTCTCTGAATTTTGGCAGACCCTGAATCAAGCTGCAGAAGCAGAGTTTTCCTTGGAGAAGTGGGCTGCACAAACCCCCTCCCAGACTTTTGGCACTGCCTGCAGACAGGGGACTAGACTGGGCTAGTTACTTGTAGATGCCCAAAAAAGCATCCTTTAATATTACTGCATTGGCATTTATTGCCAAATCTGCTTCTATAAATAATACAGAAGATCTGTTTGCCTCCCGCATTTTTATTAGAGAACCATCTCCTGTGATTTATGGTAATGTAAAGAGAAACCACCAGAAAATTCCTCCCACATTTAATGATGCTTTGAAACTACTGAGAGGAAAAAAGCCCAGCAATGATGCATTGTGCTCGAGTGGGAGGAAACCTTACCGGTGGATGTACATCCTCACAGCATGATACAGGGACTGGGAGCTGCATGCACACTGGAACAGGGAAACACAGACCCAGAGAGACAGGAGAGGTCACCAAAATGGGACAAGCTTATTTGGGAAGGAGACCAATTCCAGTAAAATAAAATGAAAAGGCGAATGCCAAACAGTTGTCAGGGCAGTGCTGCACGGATTTCAGTTCCCAGCGGCAGCTGTCGCAGGAGTGTTTGGGCTGCTTTCGTGTTTCCAAAGCTCCAGCTTGCTCTTAGCAACAAAAACATAAACAAGCTGATCATCTAATATTAGATCACAGGGATGTCTCCAAACGTGTGGCCTTAAAATTATCTGTGTGAAGCCAAAAGGTTAAAGTAGTAAGAGGCTGCTTTAGGGCTGAGGAGGAATGACTGGTGGAGAGCTCTGGAGCGCTGGTTTGCATCCAGTGGGGGCCAACAAGCCTCACCCTGCCCCACCTTAGCGTTTGACCCACAGTGGTTCACCTGCTCCTTGTTTTCCAGCTGAATTGTTCGGGAAACGCTCCAGTAGCTGGGAAATAGTGTAAATTACAAAGGGGAGGAAAACAAACAGCAGAGGGTCAGCAGAGGAGGGACCAGTTGGAGGTGTGTGGTGCCATGTGGGTGCCTGGCCAGACCATGGCAGGTCAGTGCTGGTGTTGGGCCAGATGTCCTGGACATTCAGCCCAGCTGCTGCCATGTGTGTTCCATGTATCCATGGGCAGCCTCTCGGCACTCTGCTGCGGCACTGCAGCGTGCTGATGCTGGGAACCTGGAAACCTGCCATCTCCCACAAGGCAGGGTTTGTGCCAGGCAATTGCTTTTGGGTTTTTGCTGGGAATTTCGGAGCTGCTGATGAACAGGGCTGTCTGGCTGTTCGGATGATCCCCTGCGAGGTTCAAATTGTCTCCTGTTGCAAATGTGTTTGTCCAGCTGAACTCAAACAGCCCTGGCCCTGCTGAGGGTGGATTTCAGCCGTGGGGATGTTGTGCCTGCAGTGTCCCACACAGCCCCTGTGCAGGACTAGCAGCCTGATGGTTTCCATGGGCTGTGACCAGGTGGTGGGGAATGGGGGGGACCTGTTGGTTGAAGCCCATAGCTGGATTATCTGCCTTCACCCAGGGTGACAGCGGCCTCTAGTGCCACCAAAAGCTCCTTCCCAAAGTTCATCTGGACCCTTGCCTGTGCAGAGTCAGTGCAGGGCTCTCCTCACAGCTTCTCCCAAGAGTCCTGGTGTCACAGGTCTGGGCTGCTCAGAGCTGTGTCCCCTGGGTGTGGAAAGGGCCTGCAAGGCATCCTGTCACGCTGGAATGTGGCTCATGCCATGAAATATCTGTGCTGAAAGGAAGGTCTGGGGGATCCAGCTGAACCCTTTCATACTCTGTGGAAGCTTTGGTTCCCAGAACAGTTGGAAAGGGGGCCAAGCAGCCACAGCTGGCACTGAGGTGAGACACACTTTGCTAAGAGGACTCTTGAATTTGAAATCTCTCCTGGTTTGGTAAGAGTTAGGATTTTAATTTGACCTTCCTCAGTTTTTTCTCCCCAGACACTGTGTTTATACATCTGAGCTCTGCAATTGTGTGTGTTCTTCCTGTTCCTCAGGAAGGTTCCAGCAAGGTGGTTCCAGCACTTGCCATCAGGCGCACTTTTAGAGACAGGAAACTCATCTCTCTCTTCCTTAATCTTTTAATGTATTCTGACCAGTTTCTCACATAACTGTGCCATCCCTGAAGTGTTCAAGGCCAGGTTGAACAAGGGTTTAGAGCAACCTGGTGTAGTTGAAGGTGTCCCTGCCTGTGTCAAGGGGTAGAACAAGATGAGCTTTAAGGTCTCTTCCAACCCAAACCATTCTGTGATTCCATGATAAATCCAGAATAGGAACAAGGTGGGTTTGTTTTCTGGGCAGCTTTGGGGCTGGCAGGTCTGCTCAGCCTGTGCCTTCGTGCCTTCTAAATTGTCCCCTAAAATTTTTTTTCGGATGAAGGAAGTTCACTGATGTGCCAGGTAAATGTGCCTGGCAAACATTTCTATTTCCTGCTTCATTCCCAAGAGGAATTTATTTTTCATTCTTCATTCTAAGGATCCAACTGCTAATTATAGTAGTATATATTAATAATATATTAATAATTGAATTCTCCTCCACCAGTTCTGTTAGATGAGCAGTTTTTGGCAAGTCCTTTTACCTTGTGATTCTTGTCCTGTCCGGATTCAGAGCGTGTCTCCTCTAGGATGAGCACAGATATCCCTTATGTCCTTCAACCCTTATTATCTCACTAATAAAATAAAAGCCTCTGGTCTCTGTGAAAGTTAAACTGTGAGATTGCATTCAAGGGGTATTTAAATGTCGCTTGAGCGGAACTGGTAGAAAAAGCTGTGAGCATTAGCTCGCTGCCACCTTTTTTTTTAATAGCATTTGACTCTATAATCCTTATCGCTGACTGATCTAAAGCTGAGTGGTCTTAATCTCCTGGGAAAGGTCCCTGGGGAAGCAGAGCAGTGGGGATACTTGTGAAAGGAGCTGCAGGGCAAGGCACAGATTCCTGTCCACACTACACAGTGGACAACAAGAAGTTAAGAGGTTTCTCTCTCTTGTGAAGAACAGTCATCTGGCACCTGCTGTGACAGCATTTCTCTGCCACTGCCTCTGCAGTTAATCGCTTTCAGATAAAGTTGTCCCTTTTTTAAAAGGCTGCTGGTGCAGATGACGTGGGAGGGCAGGAATTCTTCTGGCCCATGGGCTTGTCCATGTTGGGAAGAGTGGAGATTGCTCCTGCTGGATCAGAAATCAGGCTGCTTTTTTATTTGGAATAAGGTCGAGGTGTGGGCCGGGGGTCAGTGCGGCTGAGGCGGTTTCCTGTAAGGGCGGTGAGCAGGTGTGTGCTCTGCTCAGCTGCAGAGGCTCCATCCCCCAGTGCTCAGGGGAAGGGGGGTGGATATTTTGGCATTTGCTTTGGGCGGAGAAGCCCAGGCTGTAGGTTGGCCTGCTAACAAAAGCAGGAGTATATGCAGGATCCTTCAGGAATGGTCAAGGAAAGGAAGCAGGGACCGCTTGAGCTAAGCCTTGTCAAAGAACTGCAGCTTGGCAGCGTGGAGCAAGCAGAAGGTAAAACTGCCTTTCCCCAGCCCTGTCCATGCTGAGTTTGTGTGCAATTCCTCTTG